AAATAATTTCAATCAAAAATAATTTTTTCAACCAAACAAAAAATAATTTCAATCAAAATTAATATTTTCAACCAAAATAAAAATTTTTTTTCAACCAAACTACCGTAAAGAATGACCTATGAGCACAACTACAAACTCTGTACATTACCATTTTAAAGAATTTTAAATRCGCACATTTTTAACAGTTACGGTACAAATGTTTTTTTTAACAATAAAGTGCAACTTGGCTCCAAAGTTCAAAACTCCTTTTAGAAAGTCAAAGATAAGACAAAAAGCCAGACTAAATCAGCTGTATTTAACTTTTACCATTTATTACTTGTGTTTAAGAGAAACATACAATGCATAAAAAGTATTTAAATCAGAGTAACAAAAAGCTGAACACCTCTTATATGTATATTTTATTTTTTCGTTATTTTTTTTACAAATAGTTTTCATTAAAAGCAAGAAAAATCCATCTCCTATATTAAATTGTATTTTCTGTACGGTTACTAAACAGCATTCCACTATAAAGCAAACATGCATAGTCTATAAACAGAAATCAACACATCTGTACAGTGTCACTAAAGGTATAAGCAACACATTTAACAGATGAATTGTATTAAACAGCATAATAATATTAACCCTGCATGGAGCTGTGGATGTCTATGAAATACATAAAAATAAAATGATTCACACAACTTCACTCTCTTGAGTGAAGAGACAATGTAACAAAACTGTTTATTAAAAAAAAACAAGTAAAACACATTACGTAATTGAAACTGCGTCTGAACTTGATATTAAGACAGGGAAAAGAGTCAGTTTATTATTTAAAAAAATCACCAAGATTAACACTAATCTGAAGCCACAACAGCTTCTAATAAATTAACAGCTACTTAGATTTGAGCTAACCATACCAATTTGTATTTCTTAAGTCTCACAATTAACGAATAACCTTCTAAACATAAACCCTAATAACTCATGTATTTCAAATATTGATATTAAATTGGTCTAACAACCTAAACTTTGTGCATTTTACAGTAAATTTTGATTCAGTGGCCCCTATGGGGAAGAAATGTAATGTTTTGTACAATTTCCTAAAAGGCAAAAAGTGTTTTTATACCTGCGCTGCAGTTTTAAATTCTCAGAAACCCCCTTATAATGCAGTCCACCTTCATTAAATTTAAACACTAAAACCTACAAGTTGAAGGAAACTGAAGAAAATCTTTTACTGCAACAAAAAGAATAATTTAGGTCTGACATTAAAATTGAATGTGGCTGATGTAGCAGATTTGTTTTAGGCATGACACTTCAGCGATTTCTCTTTGATTATGAAATAATAAAAAAAAGAAAAACTTTTTATATGATCATTAGGACMCAATAATCTTAACTTCTAAAAACAGCTCATCCTAAATTAGATCAGAGAACTTTTTTTCTTTTTTTTTTTTAAAGAATTAGTCATGCAAAACTAAAGTAAGCACTTTATTATTTTTTTACTATTTGGTAATGCAATTCTGTGCAATCCCTTTAAAATGAAATCCAAAAACTCTGGACTACTTGGCTTAAACGTTTAATGCATGAAAAGTGAGTGAATGTGACTTGGAGAGGCACTGAGTTCTGTGTAACAACCCCCAAACATTATCGTGGAAAATAAATAAAGGATTGGAAAGACTGAGAAGTTTTGTGTTTACGTGAAAACACACGAGCCGTTCTTTACCACACCACATGATTTTGTCCATTTTTACAAACCGTTTTCCTTTAACTCCTCTTCAAGTGATTAAAAAAAAACTCTCCAGTGTTTTTTTTTTCTTTTCTTTTCTTAAATACATTGCTTATTTTGAAAACTAGGCTTCAAATATTTTAAGGCATTCTCAGTATCAACATAATTTTGATTGTCTTTGGTCATGAMTGAACCTTTGATGCAGGTTATTTCCAAACTCTAATATATTTACATTTAAAGAGAACAGTCTGAAAAGAGARGGGGGTGAAAAAGTTCACTTCATTAAATCCGCTGCGTTTTAGCGGCTGGTTCTGCTGGAGGATCGACTTCCTTATGTGCCGACGTCGACTCCCTGTGCGTGCACGACAAGTCGTGACGCTCCGCTGAGAAAAGAGGAAACTCTTTAAGATACTTTCAGAAGTCTGATGACCGCTGAGCTGCTTCTCCTTWTGGTCACAATCTGAGAAGAGCTCGGTGGAAATGAACTTCACAGGAAAAAATTTTAAAGATGGAAAGAAAAAGTCCTGGAGCTGAATAAACGCCACTCAGGAAAGAAAAGGTGTAACTTCATTCAGAGATCAGTGAGAAGTTGGGACAGTTCAGGGCTTCCAATAGTAAAAATATGGCCGTCTTGTTTTCCTTTCAGTCTCTGGGACATTACATTCCGTGCTGGTTTAAGAGAACCCAAACCAGGAGAGGGGACGATCAGAAGTTCTGCTGTCGTCTCTTCTTAGCATCCATGGCGTCCAGGATGGGCTGCCTTTTAGCAGTGTAGCGCTGCCTGAGCTCCTCAATCTCCCGCTCCATCATGGGATCCAAGGCAGTCAGGCGCAGCTGCAGCTCCTCAAAGTCCAAGTTCTTCAGCTGTGGGGAAACACAAACAGCAGTCAGAGAAATGACTCACAGACAGTTTGCAGTTTCCACTCAGACACTCACAAAGTCAAAGTCTCCGTCCTGAGGAACTTTCCAGTTGTCGGGGAAGACATTTTTGGACTGGATGTGGTAGCCGGGCTGCTCCTTGGGCTGGTTGTGGTTGTAGTTCTCCTGCTGCTGGGCCGCCTTATTGGAGTCCTGCTTATCAAAATAATCCATGAAGGATGGACGGATGGGCTGCTGGGGGGTGGGGTGCCCTGTGAAGGAGAAGAGGCGGTAAYGTGACATCTTACTGGACAGAGTGTTATATATTCAGACTGAAACACTGCTACACAAAGTGTTTAATTTATGATGACAAAAAGGATTCAGGAAGTCCTGAATGATCATATCACATCAGGAGCAACAAGAATGTAAAACAGCTTCATTCCCCAGGCTGAACTCTCAGAAACATTAGTGTAATTTATCATTTTAAATCAGCTGTTTGACTGTAAAACTTTTCAATTATTTTCTGTCTTTGATCATTTTTTAATCTAAACTCTGCATTGGATTTTTGGCCTTGTTCTTAAAATATGTTTGTCTGTGTTTTAATGTTTTCCGTCTGTTTTTCCTCTTTTTGCATTCACTTTAGCTGAAAGAAACAAGAATTTGTTTGACTATTTTCTAAAAAAAAATACTTGAAATGTCCTTTCTTGTTCTGCCGGCCAATAACAACAACAACAACAACAACAACAACAACAACAACAACAATAAAGGATCCACCTTTATCCATTCAAAATGATCATATTACACAGTAACGGTCAAATTCATGGTAGAGTTGCTCAGTTATGAAATGTTGCTTTATCAGATGATGGTGTCGAGAATAAAGACGAGATTTATATCAGGGCAAAATGGCACCTTGGGAAATTACATTCTTGTAACCAGTGGGGACAATCAAATAAATATCAGAACTAGTTCATTCCAGTTTTGAAAGGAAATCCTTCAGTCTAAAAAATAATAACYCAAACAGAATATAAAGATGTCTACACAGGGAGAAACTAAAAGWATTYAATGGCTAAAAAGTGGATATGTTCCCTTTAATGGAAGATGAACTTCTAATGAATAATATAACTAAGTGCTGAGTTTTCAGCTTGATATTGTTTTAACACCAAACACAAATACCGAGATGTGAATCGAAATGTCGTAACTGCTATCATCCACTTAGAATATAAAAAAAAAGAGAGTTGCAAATGTAAGCTAGTTCTGAGCTGTTTTTTTGCACAGTTAGCGCACTTGTTCTGGCCTCAGGAAAAAGAAAAGGTCACAGCAGACAGAGAGTCACATTATAGTGAAGTGAAAACGAAAATAGACAGACGTGTCAGAGATGGTCCGTTGCATCGGCAGTCACAAGCAGTGTTTATAATTACATGGTGTGTTATATTTTTACACTCCTTCCTCTTTGTAAAGCAGCTCTACTCCAGTTTGTACTCCTCCACTTTGAGCTAACGCTAAYGGTTGTACTCCTCCACTTTGAGCTAACGCTAACGGTTGTACTCCTCCACTTTGAGCTAACGCTAAYGGAGCTGAACTGCTGTTTTACATCAGGTTCAAAACAACATGAAAACATGAACAAATKTTAKAATAAAGACAAGCGCTCACTTCTCATTGATCCCTGATCCTCTTCCTCATTTTCATCGTCRCTGTTGATGACCATAGTCCCCAGGTCAGACTCCAGCATGGTGCTGTGTTCAATCATGGTCTGCGCCCCGTCGCTCATGGTGCTGGTGGCCCGCATGGTCCCAGGACCCTCGCTTCCCGACTTCACCATGGTGTGAGAGTCCACCTCTGTCTCCTCCTCCTAACAAACACACGCAGCACAAACATCTCACCACCGCGTGGATTGTTTTCGTAGAACTGCACGGCTAACATCTTAGCACGCTTACAGAGTTGTCGTCTTCCTCCTCCAGCTCTCTCTGCTGCTCCTGCTGCCGCTTGGCCTTCATCTCCATGGCTTCAGTGATCAGATCTCTCAGGATCGTCACTGGCTTGGCATGGTTGATGAACGGATGCTTTAAACGTGTGGAAAAACAGCATTACGTATTTAAAGAAAACAATAAAAATTAATAAGATGTTCTTGCGCCAACCTGTAGGAGCTGTGTGGCGGTTGCTCTCTGCTCGGGGTTCTTCACCAAACACTTCTTGACGAAGTCGGTGAAATCGTCTGACCAAAGCTCCGGCTTCCTGAATGTGGGAGGAGGGTTGGTGGGGATCATAAAGATGGCCTGTGGGAGAGCAGAATTAACAACAAAAAATGTGATTTTTAGTCATAAAATCAATACCAAATGTGTTCAATCATCACCATATCAAAAATACACACCCTCATTGGATGGATGTCAGCGTAGGGAGGTTTGCCCTCCGCCATTTCTATGGATGTGATGCCCAGGGACCAGATGTCTGCCACACAGTTGTAACCAATCTCCTGGATCACCTCTGGGGCCATCCAGAACGGGGTACCGATCACAGTGTTTCGCTTTGCCATTGTGTCCTTTGGAAGGAAAATACACACAATTATCTTCATGAACAATGTCAACATTTATTAGCATTTTTTAAATGATATAATCAGAAAAATATCAGTCCTACCGTTAACTGTCCTGCAACTCCAAAGTCTGCCAGTTTGGCGTGCCCCTCTGTGTTGAGAAGGATGTTTCCTGCTTTGATGTCGCGATGGATCTTTCTCATAAAGTGAAGGTATTCAAGCCCCTTCAGTGTCGATTTAAGGATGGTGGCGATCTCATCTTCTGTCAGCTGGTGTGAGGGCAAAACCAAAAAATAAAAAATAAATAAAATAACAGAGATTGGCAAAAGAGCCAAAGACACACACACACACACAACTGTAACTTTCAATAAAGACGCACCGTTTTGTTTCGCAGCCTGATGATGTCAGAAACAGAGCCTGCTCCACAGTACTCCATGACGATCCACAAGTCTGTATTCTTGAAGTAGCTGCCGTAGTATTTTACTACATAAGGGCTATGAGGAGAAACAAATCTCAAAATGAGGAATAACCCTTCAGAGCCAGCAGAACAAAGATCTCATACTGGTGTTTATATTTAGCAGAATTTACAGACAAAGAACTGAGGAAAGCTGTGTCACCTGTCACACTGCTGCATGATGGAGATCTCCTTGATGATTTCTTGCAGATCGGACTCCACAGGAACCTGCTTGATGGCTACCACCTGCCCCGACTCTTTGTGAATGGCCTTAAAAACGCTGCCATATGAACTAAACACACACAAAATGCATTTAACGACTAAAGTGAGCACTAAAAACGCCCATTACACTAGAGTCAGCTTTGAAAAATGGAAGTTTGTTAATAGTGGGAGAGAAATTCTTACCCTTCACCGAGTTTCTCCAAAACATCGAACACTTCCTCCGGCTGCTTGGTTAAGCTGTCCTCGCTCAGCTTTTTCAGCTTACTGCAAAACAGAATACAGCGATTATTACAATTTACCTTTAATGTAAAACTGTATTGTACATATTGAGTTTATTAGTGGTATTTTCATGTACTCCTCAGGACTGGAGATTTTCTTCAACAAAAATTAACTGTTTTAAGTAAGAAACTGACTTGTTAATTTAAACAAGAAAATTAACCTTACAACCAATAAACTATATATATATTCACTGGAAATGCTCTACAAAGCCATAAAAGCTAAAGCTACTATAAAAAGTAAAGAAACCCATTTAGAAGTTTTAATATAGGTTTTGTTGTTAAGTTGTCCTGTTTTGTCGTTTCTCTCTGTGGAAAGTTTGGGACAACTAAATTAGCTTAGCATTAGCTTCCCAAGCTACCGCCTGTATTAGCCTTTTAGCAGACTGGTTTTAAGGCACTCAAGTGTTCACAAACCTTTTGGGCGCGGACGGCTCCATTACGCACGACCTCGAAAATAAAAGCACACCAAACAATGACAAAAAGAAGAGCACGTTTTTGTCGGAGACAGTCACGATGCGGACATTGTCGGCAGAGTCGTTGTTGTCAAAAACTACCGGAGGGCCAGCTGAAAGGGGGGGAGTCCGTCAGATGACAGACAGCTTTTGTGGTTTCGGTGCAAGGAGTTTATATTCAAGTCTATGTTTCGGTGATGCAACATCGCCCCCTATTGAGACGGAGGGGTAATTAACACTACATCAGACTAATTGTGTTGGATAAACTAAAAAAAAATATGACTTCACATTATTATATTGACTTGTAAAAATGCGGGGTTATCGTTTTAATGAAAATGCATTATTTTCTAAACTTTGAAAGCTGTTAGATTTTAATTATGAGGATTGGTAGTGAATATGGAAACCGGAAGGGGGCGGTATTCTGACCTGAAGAACTTCCGCTAACTCTTAAACTCCAAAGAAGAAGACGCCGTACGCATGTACGGATAGATGTGTTTTGAGTGTGGAGAAACAGTAAATGGTTATCAAATAAAGTAAAAAGGGTGAGTTTTATTATTCTAATCATTCGAGTTATGCTTATTTTTTCATTCTACTTCTTATGTACTCCGTTCGTTTACTATTTGGTTTATACGAGTGACGAGGCTATGGCTAATGTCGGTTGCTACTATTACCATCATGCTAATGATACTTTATTCAAAGAGGAACTTTATTTGATAGCTTTAACACTTTCTTCTCCGTTTTATAGGATAAAATGGATACACAGAAAGACCTACAGCCGCCCAAGCAGCAACCTATGATCTACATTTGTGGAGGTAAACAAAATATCAAGTCAACGTGATCTGTGTTACCTGAAAAATTCACAAGAAAATTATGTGTATAACCTAAATTTACTTGTTCGTATATGGTAGAATGTATTTTGGGCTTATTGTACAAAAATTAATATGGCCATCAAAAATACAAACACATGCACAATGTATATGCATACAATAACTGTAAGTAMTATTCAATTTGTTTAATATGTTTACAAAATATTATTAAACCTACTGTTAAAAAAATGAAAACAATGAATGCAATACATTCTGATTTTTATTCCACGGTAATTTCCGCATATAACTCAATGTCTATTTAAGTAATTGTATTTTGTGGTGGTATATTAATGTCAAATAAGTAAATGTATTGTAATTTAACACCTTGACAAAAGGTGAGTGATGCTGATACCAAAAGTTTTTAACATTTGTAGTTTAAAGTCAGGTTTTAGATGAATCATGACATTTTTATTTGCGGAATTTAAAATATTTGCATATGCAAAATTTATAGTGGAGAATTTACTTGTATTTGTTTTAAAAAAAAACTTATAGAAATGTTAATGTCTGGGGGAGTTAAATAACATTTCAAAATTTAAAAGATTGAAAGCAAAATCTTAAAGGTCAGTAGTATGCTACTGCTAGACATAAAACTATTACTTTTTATTTATATAATGCATAGTGATTTAAAATGTTGTGTAACAAGTTTCTTTGTTTTACAGAATGTCACACAGAAAATGAGATTAAAGCTCGTGACCCCATCAGATGCAGAGAGTGTGGCTACAGAATCATGTACAAGAAAAGAACAAAGAGATGTATCCTTTTTCTCTGTGTGTTTGAACAAAAGGAAGATTCATCCTACATGATTATCGTTTTAGTTTAATCTGAATTAATTAGTTATGGTACTGTCTGTACATTTCCTTGACTTTTTGATCCCAGTGGTTGTTTTTGATGCTCGGTGAAAAGGAGGAAAGCTGCAGATTGTTGTCCTTAGCTGTTTTTTTAGTTTTTTTTGTTTTTTTTTTGTAGCGTTTGACCATGTAAATAAACAGACAATGAAGCGTCAKCTTTCAGAGGTTTTCATTTTTGTGTCAACAAATAACTTGTTTTTTTTTTCTATAGAGACTAGTTTTATTATGTTTTTAGGGCTTAACAATAAAAGTTTTGTCTGGGAGGAACATTTACACTCGACAGGATTAACAAACATTTATAACTGTTGCGTTTTTTAATATTTTCTGACTTTCTGACAAACTTAGCTTTTTAAATTAATCAGAAATCTTATTCAAATCTGCAAGGTGTAAAAAAGTGTTGAGTTGAGATTTGTAGATGATCAGTTTTGAGTGCTCTTTTCCCCTGTTTTAAGGCATTTTTTAAAATAAACATAAGGAAAAATTATTTTTAATTGTGAACTTTCTATATATATATGGAAGTCCTTTTCCACCACCCTGATAAAAAAAATAAATAAAACTTGTATCTCATAATTATGACTTAGCTCTCATTTAAATAAGATACTATCTCATATATCAGAAATCTTATTCAAATCTGCAAGGTGTAAA